TGCAGCTGCAACTAGGCAGGTTAGCATCCTACAGAAGGCGATTAGAAGCTAAAGGTTGTATAATATACATTTTCAATCCATACATTCTAGATCTAATACCAACCTGATCATGCTACATGTTGTATCTCTAGGTTAATTAAGAACTAAATGGTGCTCTGGGAAAGTCATATGTAAAGAAAAAAAAACATACACAAAAAATGCACACTACCAAAGGCAACACTGCTAGACAATGCTAGGCTACCTGTCTACAGACGCATCGTACCACAGCTATGCAAAAATCTGACCATTTTGCATTTGTAGGAGGAATCAGGCTTTCTGCATGACAATGATTTTAGGGCTAATACATTTTATCCCTGGCTGAGGAAACTCCAGTCCAGTGTCCAATACCTTTGAAAAAGAGAACCTGGTGCTGATGTTTCAGGTGCCTAAACAGATTGGTCGTATTGCCAACTGCTGTACGAATCGCACCTTTGCAAAGTTTGCAAATTACAGTAGACTGGTCCGATGGTATATAAAGTTTATTTACAAGTTAGTTAACTGCTAAAAAAAGAAATATCAAGTTATTACTTCAATGTCTTGCCATTAAGTTGAGATCCACTGAGACAGATACGGTAGTTGACAATGAAGTGAGATATATACAGCGCTGAGATAAAATTTTCACATCACTCTGTTTTACCTGTAGTACTGATGCAGCCCCCAAACACGCAGAAACTGTGTGACACACGCTTGTCTGTTTGTTCTGTCACCATAATAGTGTTAAGCAGTGCACACGTTGTACCTGGGCATTCACTGGAAGCTCAGCTTAGCTGCACTCATGCCAAGTCGACTCCTCAACAGCATGCATGTTTGCAATCTGCTAAGCATTTGCTAAATAAATGTAAACGTAGAGTTGTATCGCGATTCTTACTACACCTCTGATATGTGTAGCATGGATACAATTGCAACTGGGTAAAATAAAGTATCGGCATATCGCCCACCACTAATTGAGACAAAAAAGTAACGTTGGTGAATTACTTGCTCATATCATATAAACGGCTATACTTAGACCAATTGAGTAATTGCTGGTCAGCGTCGATCAGGGAGAAAATCTGGCTTTTCTGTTAACTAGCCAATCGATTAGTACATCCTTTATATATAAAATGCTCATCAGATAACGACACTTGTTGATGTTAGTCTATGTAAGCATCCATTACAAATCAAATTAAGCTTACAATCATCGCAGAGATGTGCATCACTAGGATACTGATGGTGGAGCGGATGATCTGGCCAAGGCCTCCTCAGACAGTCAAGCTGTCGAGGAGTGCCTAAGGTTTCGCTGTTACACAAGGTGGCATCAAACAAAAAAGAAGTTTGTCTCACATAAATGAGGACATTGAATAATTTCAATTCCAAAAAACCATAAATGAGGTATTTGGATTTTTGGCCTGGTTGTGCTGGGAAAGCCTGTGTTTAGGGTTAGAGTGGTTACTGCAAAACAATGAATAAAGGCAGAGAACATAATAACGGATGTAAGCCATAACATGCTTTAAGTGCTTTATGTACATCTTAGGAAACAAAAGGTGACCATATTAACGTGATACTGTCTATCTGAGCATGGGAACATAAGTAACTGGCAAAGGATGAAAAAATCTAATGTAAGTGCGCTGTTACTCACAGGCATTTAATCAATTTTGTTGCCAGTAAAACGAGCTTCATTCTTACATGTAATGCGCTGCAATGAAATCTAATTCCAACACAATGATACACAAACAAACGATCAGCTATTAAAAGACAAATGTACACAGCGACGGTTTTCAAATCTATACTTATTAGTTTCATTTGCGTTTTTAAAAGACCTGGTTGGGGCAATTGCTGTTCTTCTGATGGTCCGTATTGCTACAGGCCGATATACCTGGCGATCACTCACAGGTGCGGCTTCAGAGGCGTGGATCTGCGCTCGGCGATTCCCCGACGCCCACAGGGGGTCTGCCCAGCGGCAGTAACGTTAGCTCGCTGTTTGACTTGCTAAAACAACGCCTGCTTTACTCAGGCAAACCCAGAAAATCGCACTGAACATTTTTACTTTAATCGCACCCAGTTTTCGGGCCCGTAACTTCATTTTGGCTGCGTAAGTTACAAAGGTTACTAAGTTAGCCAACTGTGCGGCCAGTCAACGCGCGGACCGCGTATCGAAACGTCACATTTTGCGTTTTACCTTCCATTAACACTTCCCTTCTCCTGCTAACTTGATCGGAGTTTTCTGTGAGTTTAAGTCAGCGCTCCACGGGCGTTTTACTTCTCGCCCGCGCTGTACAGGCTGTTCGCTTCCTGAACTCATTTCCTCGTTTCTAAAATCAGGGATAAGTTCAAAATCCAAGGAAAAAGCTTCAGTGCGGCCATCCGATACCGTAAGCTTTGAATATAACCGGACCCCACCCAAAAATATAATCTTCGGGCCCGGCAATGAAGTTCGGGCAGGTATGTTTAAGTTTTCACGATGTCGGACAGTGTTATTGTTGGATTTCTTACCGTTGGTTTTCCTGTATATTCCCCCTTCCGATCTGCCCGGCTCCTTTCCCTCTCTGGTCGCGGTGCGGTATTGTCACCAAGCGACGGTCCATCCGAGCTCGCAGGCGTCGCAGCGATTTTCGCCGAGCGTAGCCCTGTCTGAGATCAGGGGAGGGGAGGGGAAGGGCCGCCGCGGCACGCCGCCAGCCCCGCTGCATTCCAGCTGCCGGCTCCTCCCATGCCATCCCCGCCGTCGGTGAGACATGAAACATCCGCCGATTTAGCGCGACGAAAAACTACAACGCCCCTTTTGCCGTATTAAAGACTAAAACACTGTACTATATCCTTATTAGACATGGAAGTCATGATTCTCCTCAGGGTGTGCAATATAAAAGTTTTGTTCAGAACCGTTCGTATTTTTCGCTCCGGGGGACCTTAGGATATTTTTTGTCTAGAGAGTAGTCCCTGTATTTATTAATAAAACATCTAATAGAATAGGGTTACAAATGTTTTCAATTATTCAACGGTGTAACTTGTCTATATTTATACATAATTAAAAGAACTATTTTTTGTCATATATTGTTTTGTTGGATTGTGTGCCATACTGACTTGGCATGATCATTGTCACTGAACGATGAATCGTGTTGAACGAAACGAACGAATCAGTGCCGAGACTACGATCATTTCTTTCACTCCAAAAGAATGAATAATCCATAAACGACATAAGTCTGTTTCTTACCAATAAAGGAAAATTCAAAAAAATGTTGTACTCAAAGAATTAATGCTTCACTGGCAGGTTGAACAGAGAAGCTTCTGCAGCTCCTGCTACTATATACTGTATTGTTTTTCTTACATAATACAATAGTGCACTGTGTACAGTTGGATATTAATGGGTGATAATTCAAGCACCTTTGGGGTTTGAAAATTTTCAGTCTTGTTTTGAAGATTTGAAAGATTTGAAAGACTTAAAGGGCAGTTACCAGACTACACCACTGTAACACTACGTCCTGAGTGTACCTATGGATCAGTCTGAATGGCGGAGTAAGTGTGTGATCCTTGGGGTCCATTGACCTCCTTTGTTTGTTTGCATCTGTTAACCCTGGAATGGAAAGAGCTTTGATTGGCTGCAGAACATTCTACTATCGAGCTCCATGGCTATGGAATAGTCCAAAAATGTATAGCATTCCGGTGCACACTCAATCATTAGTCTAAAACCTGTTTAGCTTACAGGGACACTAGCTCTGGGGTATAGTCTTAGGTGGAGAGCTGGGTGGGGATCTGTGTCATCACCTTTGGATGAACTGTACTGTCAGCACTGTCACTCTTGCTTCTCACGTGGCCTGATTTGTTATTGGAATGCTGGTTTTCAGGGATTCCTCACACCTGTATTGCCACTTAACCTCTCTCTCCTAGTCACATTGTCTTAGCTAAGCCTGCTGGAGCCTCTTAGCTGCTAACCCTAACCCTAACCCTAACCCTGCTGCTGTCGGCCTCAGCTACCTCATCTGCCCATCTGCCTGCCTACCGGGAGCCTGGTTTCTCTCAAGGTATCTTTCTCTCTCTGAGGGAGTTTTTTTTCCTTGCTGTCTTTAACAGACACTCCATGACTTTAACAGAGCAGTCTGGAGTAAGGGTATGGCACCATGCAGCATTTGACTGAAACTCCAGTCTCTGGCGTGTAAATTTGCAGTAAAGGAGTGTGAATGCGCGCGTGTGTGTGTGTGTGTGTGTGTGGGGGGGGGGTCATTACATCTGTACTATATTTTAGGAGTGGCAGTAATGCATGTTAGCTCTGATCCACATTCTTCAGGAGACTTTCTTGCTTCACCGATGTGCCAACAGAGAACCAACCCTGACTTTCTTTCTTCCTGCTGTTGCCAAGTTGCCGAAATCCAGCATTTACTTCATGGAGCACTTGGTCTGCTAGAATTCACCTGAGTTCCCCACCCTCTTGAATAACGGCTCGCTACCTGCAGGGACATGACCTTGCCTATTGATCTGGCTGCTGATTCCAGTGCTTGTGTAGTTAATTCCTCTCTCATTCTGCTGGGTGTTCCTGACAGATGAGTAGCCTCTTTATGCCGGCGGGACTTGGCAGGCTGCCCCCAATAGGCTTCTACACGTCAACTGCCATCCGTCAACTACCTCCTTCCAGCCACTAGCCAAGTTAACATGCAGATATCCTGTACTGGTTTGGTATACTGGTGTGTTCTTTTGGATCCCCCTGGGTTTCTAGTCTCACTTTAGCTTTTCTCCCGCCTCCGTTCTGGCAGAGAGCACAGAAACATCAGCATCCAAACCACAAGGTTCAGAGACAGGTTCTACCTGTAAACCATAAGCCTACAAAACAGTTGTAGAAACTGCAGGTTCCCAGTGTGCTCTGTCATCACCTCTCAGTTATGCAGTTTCTACTTGTGATACATTTTTGTGTAATTTTTGTGTTCAGCTGCTGTGCCAATTGTCTGGTGCTGCTACTTACTGTTCTTTAAATTACTACCTACAAGAAGCATCTGATTGTACTTAATATACAGACCAAAATTAAAGCTCAACATTAAACCTGAACTATTCATGAACACTAGTGAGAAAGGATAGCATCAAAGATGGACACAGATCCAGGGTGGGGACTCAAGCCAATTCCAAGTGTATGACATCTGACTTTTGATCTCTGATCTTTCTTCCTTTAAACCCTGAGGCCACTAGTCTGCACTGTTCTACAAAAATGGCAAACTGCTCTATAATGCAGTGGTAGGTCTCCATGGAGATCAGTTAGAATAGGGCTGCACCATTAATCCTTTTAGAACATCGATCTCGATTCATACCCCTATGTGATCTCGTTCTGACACGACACGGATTCTATCATGTTTGCATTAGTGGGGAGATCCTGTGCATCAAACCAAGCGCTCCCTTTATTCCATGAGCTGTATCAACATATGACAGGTTTGTGTTACACTGTGAGACATGTAGAGGGGGTAGAAAAACAGGTGTTATAATAAAAAGCTGATGATGTCTAAGTTTGTTTAGCATTTCTCACTGAGGCACAGGTTAACAGAATGATATAATGTCGTTTTTATATTATTTTGTAAGATTGATCTGCGGTCCAGATTTAATGATGGATTATAAATATGTGACAGGTCAGTACTTTGAGAGCTCTTATGAGTGGTGAATAAGCCAATGAAATCTCGCTATGGAAAGTGGCTGCTCGTCCAATGAGATTATCTCCATTCATTTAGCTGCTGTGTCTTTAGCTCTAGGTGCTGCAAGCTTTGTGTATTGATTAAGTTTGATTGTTAAGATCTCCACACTGGACTGATTTAGATATGTTATGAATATTATTCATTAGCAATATAATAGCCAATATATTGCACATCCACTATCGGTCCCGGCTGATGTGGCTCCCTAGGCGAGCATTACCGCCCCCCCCCCCCCCCCCCATCAAAGGCAAAATGAAAGTGGCTGGTGAATTGGTGCCCCCTCAGAAGTTGGCGCTCTAGGCGGCCGCCTATGTCGCGTATAGGAGTGAAGAGCCCTGCGCATTTCTCTACATAGTGTCTATTCCATCTTCATGAAGACAATATGTAATGTCAAATAATAAAAAAGAGAAATTAATTGCTCAAGAGTCGTGAGATAAAACCACAGTCTCGATTCTGAGTGAAAAAAATTGTGATTCAAATTTCACCCAGAATCATGCAGCCTTATCAGTAAAGCCCTGAAATTATGGGGTGCGCAGCTCACGGCCATGCACACAGTCATGCTCAGTCTTGTGAGGTTACCTGCACAGTCCAGTTTCACCTGTCTAACGACAAGTTAGAGCCGGGTTTGTGTGAAATGCAAGTGAAACATGTGTGTGCTTTAACCACAAAATGCAGTTTCCCTGTTAACCTTTTTATAAAAATTAGTGCCACAGAAACATTCTCATGCTGTGATGCAGGGCTTTCCAGTGCAGAACTTTCCAGTACAGAACTTTCCAGTGAGCTGGCAGTGACTGATACATGTGTAGTTGCCATTTTAGACCTTTTCTGGTTAAATGTAAATTTTCTTTATGTTTAGCATGTATGTTTTGAGTAGCAGCACAGTAGTTCAGTGCAGCAGATTGCCGCCTTACACCCCAAGTGGCTCGGAGTTTGAATCCCACTTCTAGTTCCGTTATTTGAAATGTTCATGTTCTCCATGTGCTTGTGTGGCTTTCCTTCCCCTCCAACACATGGCACCCATCCGGAGTAGCTACTCTGAATCGCCCATTGTGTGCCCTGTCATGGACTGGCATTCTATCCCCTGGCTTGTGCTTTATCTTTCATGTTCTCCAGGTTCTCTGTAACTCACTTCTGTCAGGGTTTGCAGCTGGGCCCTCAGTTAGTATTACACGGAACACTGGGGGTTTCCAGGGGGGGTTGGGTAATTTTCATAAACTGAAGCATATATTTTCAAGCCATGTCTTTGTTATGACTTTTGTGTGCATCATTTGATTGCACATTTAGAAATGGACTTAAAGACCTCAAACGGAAAGTGTTTGGGTTCTGATGATTGAGATGGTCACTCACTAAAGTGTGAAGGCACAACCACTACAAAGACCTCAAACGGAAAGTGTTTGGGTTCTGCCGATTGAGATGGTCACTCACTAAAGTGTGAAGGCACACCCAGCTCAACAATTCCTTGCAAAACACTGCATGTCATGTTCCCTGGCTGGAGACTGTTGTGCTAGAACAAGCCTCTTCAGGCAGAATTTACTTCTGACTTCACTTGGCGGAGGCTCATTCTGGGCACTTCCTCCTGTTCCCCCCCCCCTGATTCACCACTACCCGATAAAACAATGTTACTTGATTAGATTCAAGGGTACCTGTGAACAGTAGAAGCATATATACCTCACCCCATCTTGGCTTATGTTTTAATTTTTAAATTGTCACCTTTTCACACCAAGCTGCATGCCAGGAATGTTTTCCTTTGTTAAAGCTAAGAAAGTTGTGGTGTAAAAGCAATGCAAACCCATATCACCATAGCAACTCCATGTTAGTAAACAAACAGCAGACTGCTATCTCATTCATGCGGATACAGGAAAAGTGGCTAACAATCATTTCCAGTAACTGCATTATATATTACGTTTGTGTTTGTGAATTATCTTATGCAACATTTTTGCTACAGCAAAATAATAAAACTAACATTAATTAAACAATAAAGTGTTATTCGGAATGTCAAGATATCATTATATATTGTAAAATACCTTCATCGGGTACAAAGAACCATTTTGAGTTGTCATTACAGTAAGTTGTGCTTCTGGTTTTAGATTAAGGTGCATTGTTTCATCATATCATGAATTGGGCTGCTGTCTCAAGCATGTTGTTTTAACAATTGGAGCTATAAGGCAATCGAAGTGAGATATACTCTGTTAGCAAGCTAGTTAGATATCTACTTGATAACATTAATGCTGAGTAGGAATTTTCGGCTGTTGCTTGGTGATTATGCAAATAAAGGTTAATATGGAAATGTTTTTGTGAAGCAGTTTGTTTACCTGTTACTGTGGATCTTCCTGAATAACAGCTAACATTAAAACTATTGTTCACATTTTTTAAGAGTGAACTGGAGTTTGTTAATGTACTGCCTTGCTCCTATATTGAAGTTACATTAGCTATTAACAGTATAAAAGATGCTTTTCAAAATTAAGCTGCATCACAATATTGACGACTTGGGTAAAAGAGGCCATTGTGTCGTCTGCTCAGTGACCAGCCAGAACAAAACCAGGATCCAAGCAGGTAGGAATAAAAATAGCCATTATTATGATGTTTTATCAGTGCTGACTTCCGCGTCCTGATTTACGACGCTGTCATCTGCACTGCTGCCCTTGTGCGCGATCAGCTCAATCCGCCAGGCAGACAGCTCTATGGTGAGTCACAGTGCAAGGTAATGTCTGTAATTATGAGTGTAATAGTGATGATAATTTAAAACAGGTTAAAATAGGTACCAGTAAAGCGAAGCTTTTTTGCTGACAAAGCTCATTATTTTGGCACAACTACACACAAACATGGTGCATGAAACTGTGTGTGTGTGTGGATAAGCTGTGAAAAGACAGCTTGGGGGGTGACCTTCACCTCCTGACTGACCCCATCTCTGTCTGCTTGGGACATTAGGTGCTCCTCAACTCACACTGATATGTACATAAATGACTCCCATTCTCATTATATTTAAGATGGCAGAATTACATGTTTGTTTGACAGTGGGACCTGATGAAAGGATGATCCCAGTGCGGGTTATAAATATGAAGTACATTATTCAAACAGAACTCAAAGCTACATGAAACAAAAGGGACCATGAGGGGTCAAAAACTAAGGCAGGTAGGTTAGGCAAACATGGGCTACAAGGAATTATTTATGAGGAGAAGCAAAGAGAACACGAGCAAAAAACATCTACTACAAGCACACAAACTCAGGCAGGGACCACACAGAATGACTAATTAAAGAACAGAGCAAAGGCAGGGACACAGGTAACTAGGACTCAACAAAACAGGTGCGGGCCATTGACAATAAAGTAAATGCTAGGGCTCGGACTAAAACAGGTCAGGTGGGGATCTTGAAGGACTTAAGCCCTAGGAATGGGGTGGCTAGCGACACCTGCTGGCCAAGGAGGGAAATGACAGACACGACAGGGCAGAGACCAATCCTGACATTTTCCTCCTCATCTCCTCATAGGTCCGTTCCATATTGCTCATTCTGTGTATTCACAAAGGAGCAGGTAAAATGAATATTAGTAAAACAATGCTCTGAAGCATGTTTCACTTTGAATTGGATTCATACACATTTCCATAAATGTATCCAGTGAAATCGGTCAGTGAGTCTCACAGTACATATTCAAATAGAAATGCTGGTAGATAAGCACCTGATTTAAAAGGAAACATGCATCTTGCAAACATGAAAATAAATTGCTGACATATGGGATTTCAACAGTGGCAAAATTTGATGAGTCAAAACACAAGATGGAGAAGCGCAGAGTAAATAACAAAGGGTACGATGTTTGTTGTGATAACATCTTCATGAGGATAGTTCAGAAAGGTCAGTCAGTCAAGTGTGATGAAGAGTCACATCATTGCTTTGGTCCAGTAGATAATGATCAGATTTCAGTGAGATTCTGCTTTTACAGCACAGAGCAGTTAGACGCCATGTACATACTGTAGATGAATGGCACATGGATGAAATTGGCTCCTTCTCTGCTCCAATGTCAGACAACCGTCAGGGAACAAACCGATGTGTCAGGTTTGATGTCAAGTTTGGTTTAACTGAGATACAGGCAACAGCCACAGATCTGACAAATAATCAAGTTCAGTCAATCAGGCTTAACGTTCTGACAGAATGAGGTGATATTTACTTTGGATTAAATAGATGCATAGGAATGTGACCTAATTATATTAATTTTAGGACACTTTGTGTCATGACGGCAGGGTGAAGCACGAGCCAGAATGCAGGCCAATGCTGAGAAACCCCAGGATCGGGGCATTTATTGAGCAGTTCAGGCACGAACAAAGCCAGGGAAAGAAAGGAGGTTGTGGGGCCTTCAGCACAATGTGAATTTTGCTCATGCAAAAGAGGAAGCAGTACGAAGTATATACTGTATAAAGCAGCTCATCAACACAATGATCTTCATAGGCTCATACATGTGACGCCCCTTATTAACAATGCTGTGTTAAGCGGACACTGGAGTGATGTTCCCGCAAAGGAAAGCTATATGAGTGAGCTTAAGTTATCACAGTATTCATTTAGCATGATACTGTGAAGGAACCGTCATTTTTTTATGAATCAGGCCAATAGGCTTTTACTCCAAAAACCCAGTAAAACACATTTAGATTTTTACAGAAAAAAATAATTTACTCAAACATTGGCTTGCAAAGATCAGGAAGGGAGCTGTGCCTTAAAGTACGTTTGCTAAATCCAGTAATTATTGCATTATAAATCATACTTTACGGTCCCTATAACAGCCCTCTGCTATAAACAGCCACCTGTCATAATGAATGGCCATTCTGCAGAGCTCTCCCATTGTACAAACATAGACTCCCAAATATCCAAACATGAAATTATACAAGAACTACATTGATCAAGGACCACGTGACACCATAGACACACGAGAGGATGTTCTCAGCAGTCAGCTGACATCCTGGTTGAGTGTCACCGGTCTGCCAAGGTCATGTTCCTCAGTAGCTCAGCATTTGGGTTTCTCAGGGTTCTGTCTTGAGTCCAGTGCTCTTCTTACACATGCTGCTTCTTGGGATTCTAATTCCATGACTGCTATGCTAAATATGGCAGATACACTATATGGACAAAAGTATTGGCATAGTCATTGAATTCAGGTGTTTCATTCAGATTCATTGCCGCAGGTGCATAAAATCAAGCACCTTGATGCACGTCAGATTTACAAACATTTCTGAGGGAATGGGTCATTCTGAAGAGCTCAGTGAATTCAAGCATGGTACTGTCATAGGATGCCACCTTTGCAATAAGTCAGTTTGTGGAATTTCTTCCCTGCTAGATATTCCATGGTCTGCTGTAAGTTGGATTATTGCAAAGTGGAAGCGTTTAGGAACAACAGAAACTCAGCCATGAAGGGGCAGACCAGATAAAGTACAGAGTGGGGTCACCAAGTGCTGAGGTGCATAGTGTGTAAAAGTCATCAAAGCTCTGTTGGCTGAATAGCAGCAGAGTTTCAAACTTACTCTGTCATTAACTCCAGCAGAAAAAATGTGCACCAGGAGCTTCATGGAATGGGCTTCCATGGCCGAGCAGCTGCATGCAAGCCTCACATCACCAAGCACAATGCCAAGCATCGGATGGAGTGTGGTAAAGTATGACATCCCAATACTCTGGAGCGATGTTATGTGGAGGAATCACACTTCTCTGTCTTGCAGTCTGATGGACTATCCTGGGTTTCAGGAGATCGTTACCTGCCTATCTGTCAAAATGATGGATGACTTTCAGATTTTTTTGCTTCCTCCCAGCTCCGAACCCTGTACCGAGTATTCTGTGATTTTGATTGGCTGGGAGCTGGGAAGGAGTAAAAATGTGGATCTTATGCGGGTCCCCAAGAGCTGGGTTGAGAAACGCTGCCCTAAAGTTTTGATTTCTTTGAGAGCCAGTGTTTCAGTTTGACTTGCCGGAAGTTTCCTGTTTCTGCTAATAATGACTTTGGTTTGAACCCTGAAATTGTGGGTCTCTGTCCAGCTCATGTTATCTCCTCCATCCCACATATGCTGAAAGCAAACAAAGCAAGAGTCAAATCATAGAGTAAAGCAATCTTTTAATTATCCTAGCTTACATATTCTGTTGACTTTTTGGGCGAGTAATTTAGTGACAGTTGGGTGGCATGGATAATATGTTCAGTTTTATATCTGTGTCAATAATGAGGCCTATATAAAGGATATTCAGTGCATCTCCACTACTGACAGTCTACTTAAGGACAAAAAAATTCTCGGTGCGTATCCAGCAGATATTTCAGGGGGTATTTATGTCTTTACTAGAATTACAATTTTTAAAATTCATGATGCTGATCTTGTTAAATATTGTAACTGTGTTGCATTTATTTCAGGAACGGTGTGATATTCAGTTGAATGGGTTATAATTTTTAATATGTATTATATGTCAAAAAGTGTCAGCATACTCAATGCACTCTTTGGGTGCATTTATGTAGCTTATAATTCACTCTTTAACTCCAGTCTTTAATTCCAGTTACAAATGAACCAAATTAACTGTAACTCCACCAGTGACAGGAGGAGCAGCAGATCACACTGGACCTGGGTGCTCTGAAGGGGCTACAGCACCTCCTCTTGTCTGTTTCGTCAAAGAAAAACATAGTTCTGTGATATTTATCTCACAGTAGCTCGGAGGCGACTTTATCATTATTTCTCCAAAAAGTTTCCAGTTGATAGCTGTTGATAGCTACTGATTTATATTATATATGTATTTATGTGTAGCATCATAGGCCCAAGGAAAATGGCGTTTCAATGCACTTGAACGTGCACTTGAATGTGCTTGAACATGAATGTGCTGACAATAAAGAACTCTTGAGTCTTAAATATTGAAATATTACAAAAGAACTTGAGTAAAGTCTATTGGTTGTTTGGACTTTCCGCAGCACCCTGCGCTCTAAGCGTCGTCCTGTGCCCATGATCACGTCAGCAGATGCCAGTCACGCCCTTACTCCTCTCTGTCCTCCTTCCTCTAGACTCCATGACCATGAGGGTCCTGGTCGGATCTCTGTTGCTGTGGAGCACCTTCACTCTTGGTGGAACCACAGGTGAGCTTGGTGTTTGTCTGAGACAAGCTGTCGTTCAGGAAGCTGTGTTACCTGGTTTTCCTCAGTGCAGTACAGAGTCATTTACTAAACTTTTTCTGCAGAGACCAGATTTATTTACCTTACTTGTTTCAATACAGTTCATATTCATTAACCTGGCTTTGAATAAATGAAAACAATCGATGTGCATTGACCGATATAAAATGCATTTAGACTCTTCTATGACTTTTTAGCAGAACCTTAGATGTGTTTTACACATCTTACACATTTTGAAATTGTAAAATTATTTTGTTTCCAACCAGCTCAATTCTAAACTTGTTGAATTATTTTGTGTCTGACCGGCACAACAGCTAACCCCCGACTCTCCTGATTGGCCATTCCGGCCCTGGTGGGTGGGAGTGGTGATCATTGTATGTCAGTTTTTTTGTTAATTTTTTAAATAAATAAAATAATATAAGGAATTACTCTTTAACATAGAGCTTTTGAAAATAAAACTTTTTTCGCCGTAGTCTATTTTATTGATGGAATCATTGAATTATCACTGTTGGTCGTCTGGGCAAATGAGTATTAATAAAGCATTCAGGTGTAATTGAGCTTATACTTAATCGAAGTTGTAGAAAAGTTGGAGATAACTATTGAAATGATGTGTCAGTTACCAGATAAAGACGATATTTATAAACATGACATTTTCTATGGCATTACAACTTCCCTGTTTATATCTTAAAAGTGCTTTAACATATAAGAACATAGTTCCCTCTGCAAACCTGCTTGACACCTTAGGAACCTTGAGTCCGTTCTGCAATGACGGAGCCCTCAACATCAGCAATCTATTGAGTGTTTAATTCTGTGTGATTCTGCAGAAAAGAACGTGGCTCTGTGGGGAACAGCAATTCAGTCGTCTGACTGGACCAACAACAATCTTGCTGCAAAGGCCATCGATGGAGTTCGCAATACAGTGTTCAGCCAGAATTCCTGTTCCTGCACTAAAGCAGAAACTAATCCTTGGTGGAGAGTAAACCTGCGGGTGGAGTACATAGTCACGTCTGTCACGATCACCAACAGGGGGGAGTATCACACAAGGATCAATGGAGCTGAGATCCGCGTCGGAAACTCTCTGGAGAACAACGGCAACAGCAATCCCAGGTACTAATATACAAATCAACATTATTATTGGGACGGTGCCATCATCACTCCCGTACAGTGTCCTTTTCTCATGCATAAATTTCAGACTTGCCCATATTTGAATGTGAATATTCTAAGCCCTTCTATAGGTTTGACTTTTTCAGTGATTGGACCGAGGTCAGTTCTTTAACACCCTCCAGGATACAGTATTCCATTTTAAAATGCAATCAATCAAACACTTAGTCACTTAAATATTGAGTATTTTTTTCCCTCATTCAGGTGTGCTGTCATCTCCACCATTCCACCTGGCAGCTCCAGCACCTTCTACTGCCACGGCATGAAAGGACGATATGTCAACGTGTTCATCCCAAGATACGAGTACCTGACGCTGTGTGAGGTGGAGGTGCATGCAAGCCCTGTGATTGGTTAGTGTCCATCCCGAGATATGAGTACCTGACGCTGTGTGAGGTGGAGGTGCATGCAAGCCCTGTGATTGGTTAGTGTTCATCGCACACAACTAGTCGGTGCGGTTACTGTACAACTTGCAAATATATCAAATTCATGTTGATAGCGGTTTTTAAGGTACAAGATAAATGGGTTTTCATGAACTGTATTTTCTCTTTCTCTGCTTTCTTTCCTGAAGAAAATGTGGCCTTGAGGGGCAGAGCGACCCAGTCATCCCAGTTCAGCTTTGAAGGTGCTGCAGACAAAGCCATTGATGGAAACCGCCATGCAGTCTACCCTGATGGGTCCTGCTCCCACACCAAGCCTCAGACTGACCCTTGGTGGAGGGTGGATCTCCTGGATGTGTACAGAGTGACCTCAGTCAATATCACCAACAGACAAGACGCACATACAGACAGGATCAAAGGAGCTGAGATTAGAATTGGAAACTCCCTGGAAAACAATGGCAGGAGCAACCCACTGTAAGTCCGTCCAAAAACGTTTGTGCTGATCTACAGCCCACTGTTATATAGCATAAAACACCCACCAACCTGGATGGAAAATGGGTACAGCTGCTTTTCAGGGTTCCATTAACAAATCAAACTGAAACAGTTACAGTCAGTACAATATGTATTAAGTTCTAGATTCTCCAAGACTGTGTTTCACTAGATACATAAGTATAAAAAGATAATAGAGGGTGCAAACATTAAACAGGCAATAATCATGAGCTGTAAAGTGACAGGTGATAATGCAAAGTGTGAAATAAATAAGTCAACATTTACTGTACAGTGGGAGTACAGATGGGAGATAGACTGCACATGTTGAGCAGGCTGTAGTGGAACGGTGGTTGGCACTCGATCCTAGACACTATCCTGATTAGGGATCTGAATTGCCTGGAAAAGTCTTCCTCAGCCCTTCTGTGCTGGCATTCAGGCAGCGGTAGTGTGTCTCTGATCTCAGCACTGAGAAGAGGCCATTGTTGGGGTGGCTGGGATTCTTAGTAATCTTTCTTGCCCTGAATCTACATCGCTTGATGTAGATGTTCTGGATGTTGGGGAGAGCATGTGACCATGCTTATGAGGAGAGGTTAGCTGAGCTGAATCTGTTCAGCCTCGCGCAAAGGAGACTAAGGGGGGACATGATCCAGGTATATAAGATCCTAACAGGTCTGGATGCTGTTCAGCCAAATGCCTACTTCAGTATTAGTTTAAATACTAGAACTCATGGCCATAAGTAGAAATTAGTGGGAGAACATTTTAAAACAAATTTGAGAAAGCACTTCTTTACACAGCGTGTAGTTAGAGTATGGAATAGTCTTCCTGCTAGTGTAGCGGATCAGGATGCAGAGAGCTGATTAAGTAAATAAAGAGGTTCCTGAAGCTGCTTCCATCCTCTCCATTGATGCAATATTGATTCTCAATTCAGTTCCTCATGTATATAATACTGTTGTTGTCTTGCACTTTAGTGTTTGTAATAGAAAAAGGTTCATGGTTCTGTTTCCTGTTCCAGGTGTGCTACTATTTCATCGGTCCCTCCTGGAAACACCTACACCTTTAAATGTCCTGACATAGAGGGACGTTATGTTACCGTCATCATACCAGGAGATAAGAAGGTCCTGACCCTGTGTGAGGTGGAGGTGATTGCATACCCCACTATTGTCTAAAGTACAGATACGTGCCACTGTGGGTGAGATGGTTTGGGAGCTCTGCAAGGTCACTTGCATCATCAGGAACCCAGATTATGACCCTACATACTGTCTAACCACCATGCTAATTATTTTTACAAAGATTTTGCAATGGAATTGAACAAATCTTTCAAATTAAAATGAAAGCTTCTTGACAGCTGCCTCGTGTTTAATGAGAAATGTAATTATTTGGATTTAGCCTAGTTTTTCAGTCATGATCACAAAATTATGTTAAATCTTTGATTGCATTTTCAATTGATACTTTCATCTTAAATTTTAAAAGAAATTATGAAATTGTATACACATAGGGGACCGTGAAATACTGAAAACACCACATGATAATACATTAAATAATGTTTACAGCTACACATGTGAGTAAAATTTGACAACCAGCACTTTCTAAGCAACATAAAAAAACTAACAGTGTTCTAATGTGGCTCAGAACTGCAGCAGGTGCATCGGTCACAAAAACTGCGAAACTATTTATCTTGTCAAGGACAAACAGCCTCATGACAGCATGTATCAATCAGGGACAAACAGCCTCATGACAGCATGTATCAATCAGGGACAAACAGCCTCATGACAGCATGTATCAATCAGGGAGGGAACGACCCAGGATGGGG